AGCCCCGCCGTGGGCTCGTCCAGCAGCAGCACCTGCAAAGCACAGCCTGCTCAGAGCCCCCCACAACCCAGCCTGGCCAAGAGGTTTGGTGTGGCAGCAGCTCTCTGGCCACAGGGAGAAACACAACGTTCCCAGGCATCGACCTGGGAGAGGCTGTGAGGAGATCAGAGGAAAGAGTGATGAACAATTCTCATCTGCACTTGCTGCACCTGTGGAATGTGTTATGGAGATTTGTTCGCCAAAGGGTGGTTTCTTAACTGGCCAATGGTGATGGTGGTTTTAGCAAAGGAACAATTAGGTCAATCTGTATTATAACTGTCTATAAAAGTAATGGGTTTCTTAATAAGAAGAGGAGAATAGAATAGTATAATAAAGTGATAGAATAGTATAATAAAGTGATATATACACCACTATTCTATACTATAGAATAGTTTAATAATTCTATACTGTAGAATAGTGTAATAAAGTGATCGATCAGCCTTCTGAGAATCATGGAGTCAATGCTAATTATTACCCCACACTACAAGTTTTACAGTGACTTCTGTGAGCCAGAGAGGAGTTTGATAAGAGGATCCATGTTCACCCCTGAAAGAATTTCCTACCAAGGTCGTTGACACAGAAACCAAGAAAGAAAGAAGGAGAAATAAGAGAAACCTGCAACTGCCTGTTCCAATGAGCACTTTGTCTTTCCTTACCAGTAAGTGTAAACTTAGGAGTTTTGCAAGAATGTATAAAAATCATGCATTATAGGATAAAAAAGGTTGGAAGCCTTCTGAAAATAGAGTGTGTTGCTTTGTATTGTGTCCATCTCAACTACAACACCAGCCCACATGGCTCAGTTCCACGCTTGCATCACTATGTTCCATGATTTTGATAGTCTCGCTCAGAGAAGAGAATGTACCCTCAAGTATGGTTTGTTTTTCTTGCTCCTTCTCCTGCTGCAGTATTACCACCCTTGTAATTAAAAATATGGCTCTGATTGAATCAGACTCCCCAGTCCTTCCAGTAAGTGAATAGCAGCCTGGAGTGGCAGGGGAAAACCACAACAGTCTCCGTGCCAAGTGCAAAATGCAAAGCTATGTCCCAAAACAACACATGTTGTGTGTGCATAAACACAACCCGTCCCTACCTGGGGATTTCCTAAAATTGCAATTCCAAGAGACAATTTTCGTTTTTGTCCCCCACTCAGGGCTTCAGCACAAACATCCTGAACGTCAGTGAGGTCCATCATGACGAGAACTTTCTGCACCTTGGGGACACACAAAGACAAGAGTCACATTTCCAAAGCACTGGTTTGAATTCCTAAATGGTTGCAAACATTACAACTTCAAGATTTCAAACTTACCTACTCATAATGGCTTTGCTTGGAGATAAATAAGACAAGTCTGAGTGTTAATTCATGACTTGAGGACAAGAAATAATTGGAAAACCACTTTGGCACTAAATCAGGTTTGTTCTCATTTCACAGAACAAGATGCAGGTGATCATATTTTATAAATAAAGCAAAAAGTGCCCAAGATGCCATAAAAGAGGAGTCAGTGGCTGAGAAGCACATACCAACCTCTTCATCTACTTCCTTCCACTGAATCCCCTTGATGTGAGCAAAAATTCTCAGGTTTTCCTTTGCTGTTAAGGCTTCAAAATGCAAATTAATCTGGGGGCAAACCCCAACCCTTTCCTGCATTCCTTCCATATTCCAAATTTCAGAGGCATTGTAGTTGTAGATCATTGCAGAACCTGCACAGGGGGGTGAATGAAATATTTGACATTAATTCCAGCACCATGGATGCTTCCCAAGTGTTAAATTAAAAATTCAAGAAACAAAAAAGCAAAATAACCAGATAGCTCAAAGATTTAATACCTTTAAAAATATTCCAGAGCACCAAAACCCTCCCTTACAAATAAAACCATATTTCCCATAGGTGTGCAGCTCATGGAAAGCACCAGATGGAGAAATGACCATGGTGCACACATGAGGGATCCATTATCCCTGGAGCTCGTGCTGAAGGAGAAATCTGCACTGAAAACAACCCAGCACGAATCACTGAGGGAAAACTTGGAGGTTTTTTGCTTATTTTACCCTTACACTTGAAAAAACAACAACTCAGCATCCAGGCCCACCATCTCACCTGCTGAAGGCTTGGAAAATCCACTGAGCACATTTAACAGAGCAGTTTTCCCAGATCCACTGTGACCCAGCAGGGCAGTGATCTGCCCTTCATATACATTTAAAGACAAACCTGGAATAAAAACAGGACAAAAGTGGAATGGAAGTGTATGAGAAGTGCACTTGGACCTGTAGCTGTTGCCACAGGTCACAGAAGTGACATTTCTTCAGAAGCTGAGAGGCAAAACCAGATCCAAAAGCACAGGCTGGTCCTTCAGGAGTTAGGCCTAAGCTTAGTAAGGAATTATGTCTTGACTGAACTGAGGGAATAAATGTAGAATCTTCAATATTTAATAAATTTTTACTTCAGTTTTCTATGAGGTTCATAACATTTTATTTTAGTGTGGCTCAAAAAGAGTCCTCAGGAAGAGAAGAGCCCAGAGCTTTTCCAAGATGTGAGATTTCAAGACATTTTTCAAAGCAGCCAGACTTTTCCCCCTCATTTTCTTTTTTAAAAAATACATTTTCTTTCTGTGGGTTGTTCAGGTTGTGTTTGCTTGGTTTTTTCCACTCAATATATACCTTTGAGGCCATATAAATATTTTTAGTATTTTTCATTTTTGATATTTTCACTTGGACTTCTTGTTAAACAAAGGCATTTAACAAATAGCCAATGACTTTACTATGGCTGTGTCAAATATTTGCATTGGCAAGTGCTTGGAGAACACAGGGGCAGCAGATTTGGCCATAAAATCCCAAGTTTGCCCAAAATAGTTTACATTTTGAAAGGGAGGTTTGAGAGGGGATTTCTAGAGTGGTTCATTGCTGCAAAAACACAGCTTTTAAGGAGATTTCTGCTGTTGCAAAAAAATAATAAACAGTGATTTTTTTCCTGGAGGGAACAGGGAGATAACGACCTGGTAGAAATTTGCCAGTAATTTACCCCAGCAGAAGTAACCATTGCACAACATAATTGAACAGGCCCAGAGGCAGAATTCAGTACAGCCAGTACATTTGCAAACACTTTGGGTTCTTATCTAGTGAAAAATGAATAAAATAATTACAAAGCCTCTCCTTACCCTTTAAAGCTTCGATGCTCTTGCTGTTCTTCTTGTATATTTTTTTAATATTGTTTAGCCTAAAGGAAAGTAAGCAAGCCATTAATTATTGAATCACAATTTGGGGGCTATTTCCTCTGCCTCAAATTAAACTTTGAAAACTTTGGGGGGGAATATTTCCCAACCTCCTCCTCCAACTGGTCCTGCAGAAGGAATCCCTTGATGGAATTTATTTCTGGTACCTTTAAAGCAGGATTAGCTGTGCTTTTCTAAAAGCTGTTTGAAAGGCTTCAAAGCCAAACTCGAGGAACATTTAGTGAGTGAAGGAGGAGGATATAAATGTGGATATTTAATTAGCAGTGATGACCTGGCTGTTATTTTGGCAGGTTCTGGTAACAAGCAGAAGGCAGCACCAGCCATGAACCCACCCAGCCCTGCAAGGATGGACAGGGCAGCATTTCCTGCAGCACACTCTTGTGAAGATGCTGGGGAAGGGGAACAGACTCACTGCTGAGAGGGAAGTGCAGGGCAGGGAGTTGGAGGATGCCCCACATCCAATAAATGTTCAAATCCAGCTCCGGAGCGGGACAAAACACCAACCACCCCCTGCCCTTCACACTTTAGCATTAATCTCATCCACAACGCCAGCTGCCGGCCTCACACCCACCAGTGCAGCGGGGCTGTGCTCTCCAGAGCCAAACAACCCACACAGAGCGGGATTTTTGCTGTCCCTTACCTGATGGCCTCCTTGCCATCGAAGCCCGGCGGCATCGGCTCGGCGTCACCACCCAGAACGGGGTCGTGGCTGCTGCCAGCCCTCACCCCCACGGCCCCTCTGCTGCCCCTCAGCCAGTAGGAGGGTCTCAGGAAGAAGGCAGGGGGATGTGGGACCCCGTACTTGCCTGAATCAGAGGCAGAGAAGGGGAAATATCAACCCCAAAACCTCCCAAAACCTCCATCTGTCAGCTCCGATAAACGCCCAGCCCAGCCACGGCTCCCCCGGTAGTGCAGAACATGAACTTCCAGCAGAGTGAAAGAATTGATAAACTTTACAATTTAAATTATCCAAATCCATAAATGCAGGTGGGGGTTAATCACATCCATTTACAACCTCTTTGGTTCCAAAAAATCAGGACAATCCCTACAACACCCTTCCAACCCCAGCGGTCAGGGCTGTCGAGCAGGATCTCACTGCAGGGTTGCAGTTTTCCCTCCTCTCACCACCCCTTTGGTAACTTTTCCTCTACAAATCAGGGAATTATAGAAGAAAAAGCAATGAAGATTGTATTTTTCCCCTCTCACTTTTCACTCACCAGGCAAAACCTTATCAAAGTAGATGGCCAGCAGGAAATACAAGACACTGTCAAAGCTCAGGATGAGGTACAGGCTGTAAAAAGGGTACAGCTCTGGGCTAGATGCTGGCCCATATTTTTCTAGTTTTACCATCTAGGAGAGGAAAAAAAAGCAAAAAAAGCAAAATTCAGATTCCACATTTCCTTGAGACAGAAATACTTTGTGTGAGCTACTGCTGTGTCATCACAGCCATTTTCACTCAAAACCAAGTCACTCGTGACCACGACGCTGTTTCCAAGGAGGGAAAGGGTTTATTCTGACCACAAGCACCAGAAATGCCTCAGTAAGCTGAATTTCAAACCATGCAGAAGTTGCAGAGTGCTGTTTGCAAAGGCAGCACTTCCAGCCCTCAGTTCCTGCAGCCCTTGGTACCCACCAGCCACATCCCACTGCTCATTTCATAGATTTAAATCTGTTGCAGTAAAATTCGTGATGCACTTAAGTGCCCAACCATCTTTATGATTTAACACAGATTTTTTAGATTTTTTAAAGATTTTTTTTAGATTTTTTGGAGCCAAGTTTTCTTTTTAAAAGCAGAAGGGATGACTGGGTTGATCTGATGAAGCAAATTGTGGATTTTGCTGCTCTCTGGGTGAATTTTGGGGGCTGAGCTCTTGGGGTGCACAGGTTTTATTATGGACATACCGTTGCAAGGCCAGCTGTGAAAGCAAAAGGACTGAAGAGGTTTAAAATCCATTCCAAAGCTCGTGGCAGTTTTTCAAACAATGTCAAAAAGCCCAGTGCTCCAAAGAGGATGTGGAGGAGAAATCCCACAAAACTGGAAATGTTTGGCTGCTTTAGCAACGAGCTGAGCAGGAAAGTGAAGTGAATCTGCAGCAGAGAAAAACCAGTAGTTAGCAGGGTGCATTTCTGCTGCAATTAAAAATAAAACAACATGAAAAGAGGAGCAAAATTAGAGACCCTGCTGGGTTTCAGTTGTTCCTTCCAGATGCACAAGGCTTTGTTTAGCAGCTCTGAGATTTAGGGCAGGTTTATAAAGTTTATAAGGTTTATAAGACAAATCACTCCCAGCCTCATTTTAGCACCTATTTTAATCTGATTTTGAGTCAGAATCTCCCTAAATATAATGGCATAAAAAATATACAAAAAATAACCTATAACCCAGCCTATAAAAAATAACAATAAATCACAGCAGAGTATTTTTGTTACTGTCTCATATAATACCAGCCCTAAAAATCTCTGCAGATATTTTAATTCGGAAAAATAAAAAAAAAAGGTGCATCATATAAGAATACAAAAGCAAACTTACACATGCCATGCCATAAAAGAAATAACAAAAATACAGTTCCAAGAAGCTTCTGTGATTATAAACTTCACTCAGGGTGACCCAGGTCAGCAGGCTGGCTGTGAGGGAGACATACACAGTGTACAGCAAACTCCAGGATAACCTGCAAGGGAAGGCACAGTTATTTCTGTCCCTGAGGATAACAACACTGCCATCACATAGCCAAAGTGGTTTGAATTCAAATATTTTGTATTTTCAATGATTTCCAGTTTCCAGGCAGGTGCAAATATCAGAGAGGCACAGGAAGGGTCAGGGTGGGAGGGACAGGGAGGGTCAATGTCTCTGCTCAGGAATGGCCAGCCCAGAGCACAACAAGGCACAGAAATGTGTCCAGGTGGGTCTGGAGGATCTCCAGTGAGGGACACTCCTTTCTGAGCACTGTTCAGTGCTTGGTTACTGCTCAGGGAAAAATTCTTCCACAAATCCATGCCTGGCACCTGCCCAGATCTCTGCAGCTCAAGGGGACACAGAGAATCTGCAGCCAGGACTTTCCATCCCTGTGCTTTTCAAATGATGGGAAATATTCATGCCCAGATGGGTTAGGAAACCTGTTGGGATAGACCCAGCATCCCTCCTCTGCTTCAGGTTTGCTGATAAATGGAATTAGGTATTGAAAGATGAAAGCAACAATGAGGAAGAAAAACCCCTAAATTCCATAAGAATTAAAAATTAAAAGGGAGGGTTATGCATTAGAGGGAAAATTTTGGTATCACGAATTTAGGGCTTGCTCCAGAATTTGTTGTTTCTGTGAGTTCCACCCATTTTCTGTAGGCAAAAACTCCTCCACGCCCTGAACCCTGCTGCACACACCCCTGCTCCACCAGGAGGGCTCCTCCTCCTTTTTGGGGAGGAGAAAAGCAAAAAAACAACTGGAAAAAACCTGTCTCAGAGCAACAGGCTTGGAAACAGAGGTTTCCCCAACAAAAAGAACCAAAGAATGGTTCAGACACCTCAAAAATCCCCTAATTCCATCTCCCACCAGACCAGGCTGCTCCGTACACTTGACAAATGATCCCTGTAATTACACATTGATAACATAATCCCTGTAATTACACATTGATAATCCCTGTAATTACACATTGATAAAATAATCCCTGTAATTACACA